CACACACACACACACACACACACACACACACACACACACACACACACACACAATTAATGCAACGTTAAGGTTGCACATTTTAAATTACAAAAAGCCAGGAAATGCAAAAGTTAAGCTCACAACGGTAATGTTAACTTGGTCATGTTGCGCATTCTGTGTCTTAGTACACATCTTATTATTATCTTAAGAAAAAAACATCAAGCTATACATTTAATAAGAAAACCAGACAGAGGAAACAGTGAATTTTACATTTATATTTAATTGGAAAATAGAATTTGAGCTCCTGTATTTACAGTCTTGATCACAATTTAAATTCACTAAGATATGAAAGATCAATGCTGTTATGACATTTGGGTTTGCTAAGTATTCTCAATAATGTAACATTTTGTGGTTTTGTTTTTTTAGTCTTGTTCAAAAGCTTATGAATATATGGGTTTTATCATGGAGAAAGAACAGGCCTATAAGGATGCTGCAACTAATTATGAATTAGCTTGGAAATACAGTAATCAAGCAAACCCTGCTGTCGGTGAGTTGAGAAAGTACTGTTCTAGCTCAAGTTCCACCTGAATATCATCCAGCACGTTTATTCCTGAAAGTGTAACAAATTGTGATGATGTAATAGATGCTTCTGCCCCCAGTTACACCTATGCAACCAATCTAAAGATTGTGGTGTTACAGAGGTGTAACTAAGGGCAGTATTTGATCCAGAATGCTGCTAAGAGTTTATTGACAGCTAATTTTAATATTGCATAATAGCGTAAGAAAAGTGAAAATTTGCAGAAGGGCCAAGTACAAAATAGTTGCATGTAGAGGAGTGCAGAAGAGATCTCTGTAGAGATGGAGGTATTAGCATATTTGGAAAAGATTTCTTATAAGCTGAAAGACTGAAAGGAAGAATCCGTCTTGGTTTCCAGACCTACTGCATATGACTAATGAATATTATACACTTTGGGCCAGATCCTGGACTGCTCTTGGATCTGGCAGTAGCCCCCCCCGTGGCTTCTGCCCGACCACCCGGACCTTCTCTCGCAAGATCACGGTCACCTCCTGCACCCCAACCTCGCCTCCCTCCACCTCACGGCATGGATGCTGCATGGTTGAACCCAGAGGAACAAGCTTGCTCCAGGGAGGTGCGGCAGTAGAAAGTAGAAAACCCTCCACTAGAGTGACTTACCTGGCGAAGTGGACAAGGTTCTCCCACTCTGCGTCTGAGCATAGTGTCTCCCCAACGCGCTCTTCTCTGCAGTCCATTTTGGAATATCTGCCCCTTCTGAAGAATCAGGGCGTGGCCCTCTCTTCTATCAAAGTTCATCTAGCTGCCATCTCAGCTTTTCAGCTGCCAATCCTGGGTAAATCAGTGTTCCCGCACGAGATGTCAGTCAGGTTCCTGAAGGGCCTTGAAAGGCTCTTCCCTCCCGTTAGGGATCCTGTCCCACAATGGGACCTCAGTCTGGTTCTCTCTAGACTCACGGGTCCGTTCTTTGAACCCTTGAGCTCTTGTTCCATTTCCCACATTTCGTGGAAAGTTGTCTTCCTTGTGGCAGTGACATCGGCTAGACGAGTGTCGGAGATTAAAGCCTTGACCTCGGAACCGTCATGTATAGTCTTCTGTACAGTTGAGACCCCATCCGGCCTTCCTGCTGAAGGTGGTGTCTTCCTTCCATGTCAACCAGGACTTCTTCCTCCTGATGTTCTGTCCTAAGCTGCACAAGATCAGAGAGGAGAGGTGATTGCATGCCTTGGACATCCGACGTGTCTTGGCATTTTACCTGGAGTGCACTAAGCCCTTTCGTAGGTCGATGCAGCTCTTCATCGTGACAGGAGACAGGATGAAGGGCCTTCCGATGTCTTCTCAGAGGATCGCCAACTGGATCACCTCCTGCATCTGGATCTGTTATGAGTTGGCGCAGGTCCAACTGCCGCCTCTGGTGAAGGCCCACTCAAAGAGAGTGCAAGCGTCCTCGGCGGCCTTCCTGGCACATGTCCCCATCCGGGACATTTGCAGAGCCGCAATGTGGTCTTTGGTTCACACGTTCACGGCGCACTACGCCATCACCCAGCAAGCCAGAGATGATGCTGGGTTCAGCAGAGCTGTGTTACAAGCTACACGTCTATGAACTCCTACCCACCTCCATTGGTATTGCTTGGGAGTCACCTAACATAGAATGGACGTGAGCAAGCACTCGAAGAAGAAAAGCCTGTTACCTTTTCCCTAATGGTGTTCTTCGAGATGTGTTGCTCATGTCCATTCCATAACCCTCCCCCCTTCCCCGCTGTTGGAGTTCCAACAAGAAGGAGCTGAGTTGTGGGGAGCCGGCGGTGCCCTTATACCGCAGCATGTGAGTGCCACTCCAGACGGCTCCAGAGTTGGTCCCCTATGGATACCACTGAGGAAAAAGCTTCCAGCACCGGTGCATGTGGTGAGCACACATACCTAACATGGAATGGACATGAGGAACACATCTCGAAGAACACCAGTTACGGAAAAGGTAACTGTCTTTTACTGCAAGCTGAGTTAGGTTCAAAGGGTGCATAAACCCTGTCTACTTATCAGGGATTTTTCTTTTAAGGACTTCTGACTTTTCATTTTGCTAACATCACACATAAATTAATCCAATTAAAATGCCCTTGTAGAAAATATTTGCACCACAAGTTACAAGTAAATTCTTTTGATGCAGTTCTATCATATTTTAACATGAGTTCATCAGAGTTATTTGCCTGAAGTGCTATTTAATAAATGTTAAGTCTTAAGACTACATGTAGTTTTGTGTTCAAGTCCAATGAAATCACATCTTTTCCATCCCTTCTGCAGGTTTCAAACTTGCTTTCAATTACCTGAAAGATAAGAAATATGTGGAGGCAATAGAAGTTTGTCATGATGTAAGTTCTACCGAAAACTTTTAATTAGATCATGAAATAGTTTGTGCCTAATTTATTGACTGTCCATCTTTTCTTTTTCACTAGGTTTTGAAGATATGCCCAAGTTACCCAAAAATTAGAGAAGAGATTTTGGAAAAGGCTCAAGCAGCTCTCAAACCCTAAAAAATAAAAGTCTGGATAATATGAAATGCTTTGAGATCAGAAATATGTCAATGAGCACTAGAAATAAAAACATATTTAAAGTAAAGATTATTAGGCATTTTAGATGTTTTAATTCTAAACTCAGCCTTGCCTCTTTGCAGAGAGTATGCTACTGAAAACATGTGGAAATAAATAACTATTAAGACTCAGGCCTGGCCATTAAACTGTGTATATGGACTGACAAAGGGGAATTGTAAATTCAGCAGAAGAGTGTATCCTCTTTATCTTATCTACATTATTTACAGGATTCAGTTTAAAAGAAAACAGAGTGGGCCTGATTCTCATTTTTAATAAGGCCCCTTTCTATCATTCTGTTAGAGTGAAGGAATCTTAAAGTGAGAGTTAAACTATGTTTACATGCACTTTAAGTCCCCTTTACCCTACCAGAGTGGTGTAAGGAGGATTTACTGTAAATGGGATTCAGGCTCAATATATTTAATTTACAATATATCAAAGTACTGTAAAAATATTTTAAGTACAGGGTTTAGGAAAGTTTGGAAGGTTCCCTTTATGGCATGCCTGTGGGACTCACTTGCCTAGTGAATGTAATATTCAAAGTTCTTTTCAAAGAAGTGTGTATTTCTGTATGTATTAACTCTATAGTGTTTAACCAATGACTGGTTATTCAGATCAGACACCACTTTAGTGTCTTATCAACAAATATGGTTTAGACATTTATATTTAATAAGACTAAGTCATCCTTTTGAAAAAAAATCTATTAATCTATGCTTTAAAAAAATAAATGAACTAGTACTGTCCCAAGGCGTTATATGGTTTTTATTTTGAACTTTATTTTTAAAGCTTCTTCATTCATTTATTTGATTTTACTTTCTTTTAGTCACTTGCTGAGAATTCATTTTGAAATATATATATATATATATATATTTAGATATAACAGAATTTTTCTCCACAACTTATGTTAATTCAGGAGGAGCATTGGCTGACAGAGAGAGAAATGTCATTTTTATTCACAGCTTCTTCAAATAATCAAATAATTCAGAGCAGTTATATTGAAATAAATAATTCATTCTCCAATAACAAAAGCAGAAGGCAGGGCAAGGAAAAGTAATTTGTCCCTTTTCCTTTGTTTATTGATGATTGAGACCAATATATAAAGTAAATGAAACTGATTAAAGTTTTGTTTGTCTTCATTATTATATATCAACAAACTCTTTTTGCTTATGTAGTTATGGGGTTCTGTTAGAGGTGGACATACTCATCTTGCCTAATTTTGAGCCAACTTTAATATTGACTTTGAAAGTTCAAATCAAGCTTGAGTGATTGTGAGTTTGCATTCCACTTAGATGAGACTGTGCGAAGAGGGTGCCGAGAAAGAAACTCGAATGAAAAATGAAATGCCAAATGTAGGTTACTTACGTAAGTCTAGCTTTTGGCAGGGATCTTCTCTCACTAATACATAATTCTGGATCTGATTTAGGAAAGCACTTAAGCATGTGTTTAAGTTCATCCCTATCAGGACAACATTTAAGCACATGTTTAATTTTAGCACATGGTTAAAGGTAAGTATGTGTTTTAAGTGCTATCTTGAATAGCGATGCTTTACTGAGCTGGGGCCATAAAGGAGAGGAAACAAAGCTTTTACTGCAACATAGAGAAGAGTCTGAACTGCAAAGTTCAAATTCAGACTTTTTGTTCTGTTCATTTTATATTGAGAGGTTTTCTGTGATTATTGGAGTTGGATGTGAGGTTTCCCAAGATCTGGGAGTATTTTTGGATTCAAGGTTTTGGTCTGAACTTCTCTCTAATTATAGATTAAGTACCAATACACTATATCTACTAAGAAATTCATGTAATTGACAAAAAATGGTTCATAAGGTTGGTAAACTTCAACTAAGAATTATGTGTTGAATTATACACAGTAACTACAATGAAGTTATTTTTCATGCACATTGTAACTGTACTGTAAATTTAGTTTAGTAAATGAATAGGACTTTGTGGCACATACAAATATCAAAACTACAGTGTAGTTATCATGAAATCATTCATCTTATATACTGTAGATATATTAAACTTCAACTTTGGTTTTCTGAATCTTTGTAAACAAATTGTTCAAGACTTACAAAATCTCAAACTCTATTGTGTTCACCCAAGACTAGTATTTACAGTATTGCATAAGTCATGGTCTATATTTTGATGAGTAGAATTTGACAGCATGGAACTTGTGACGCCCTGGAAATATCTTCTCAATATTCCTGGCCATGAATTTGGCAGTAGTGAAGTAGAGACATTCCCCAGAAAATCAATTCCAGGTTTTATTGGAGCCTTAGTGTGTGATGGAAGAGAAGACTGAGATTGCTTCGCTCTCTGTAGATGTCTAGAAAAGCTACTAGTTCTTCAACTTAATTCGTCAATGAAAAATCCTCTTCCTTAGCCTACATCTTATAGCTCATAATGGCTAGGCAGGTGGCGAGCTAAGTCTACTGCTTCCTATGCAAAATGTTTTTGTTTTACTTCTTTTTTCCAGCCACATTCATCCTATTTTGAGTTTCACCCACTTGCTGCATCTAGATTGTGAACTCTTGGGGGCCAGGATTGGGTTCTTACTACTTGTTTTTACAGCAATTAGTCCTGTGGGGCTCTGGTCTCTGTTTGGAGCCCGTAGGCTTGACTACAATACAATACAAATAAACAATCTTTCACATTCCCCTTCAGCCCCTTCATTCTGCCAGTGACACCAGTCTACAGGCTTTTTTCCTTCTCCCATTATTGACTTTATAACTTCTTCCATGCAACCCTGTGACCGGGGTCCTAGTGGGGAGCCAGCTGTGGTGACTCAATTAAGGTGAACTGCAAAGAATGGGGCAGCCAAACCCAAAAAGCTGGTGGATATTCCAATACTTAGATTTACCAAGCCAGCATAAAGCAGCTTCTTTATTACCTCTCTGGTTACTCAGAAGTCCAAACAACATAGTTCCCTTAAAGTGAACCAGCCAAGTGAAAATTTCTGTAAATCTTATTTCATCATATAAAATAAAAGGTTCTACCAATCCCAAAGGATCGGACACATTACCTCCCAGGTTAATGAATGTTTCAGATCTTACCCAAATACATGCTACAGCCAATTCTTATTAACTAAACTAAAATGTATTAAAAAACAAAAGGGAGAGAGTATGGTTAAAAGATCAATATACATACAGACATGAGTTCAATTTATTGAGGTCAGATTTACAGCAGAGATGGTGAGCTTTGTAGTTGCAAAGAGTTCCTTTAGAATTCAGTTCATAGGTCATAGTCCAATGTCCAAATGTCATATTCAGGGCATACCAGCTTAACTGGGACTTCAGTGTTGCGACTCAAACTTCCCCTGATGAAGTCTAAGCAGACCTGAGATGACAGAATCAGGACCAAAGGATCTTTTATGTAATTTCATGTCTTTTGACAAGTTGGAATGCCTCAGGGAACAAAAGGTCATTAGGATGACTTTGAAGGAGATCCATCACCGGTACTTAGCAATACAAAGTAACATATGGCCATTTGCTTGTTCCTCCACCATTCCCAGTACATTTCAAAGAGAGATGAATACTGAGATATCCCATGTTTACAATTCATTTACATGCTAGGATGTTCTTTTGACCTCTGAATTATCAGAATACAGCATAGCCAGGGACTGTTGATTACATTGTCCATCCTACTCATACATATGTAAATACACAGAAACACAAACATTATCTCTCCACATGTCTTTGGAGGGTTATTTATTTTGCAGGATGTTTAACCCTTTCTAGCCATGTGTCACAAACCGCCTGTGCATAGAGCAAATTTCCTAGTGCATTAGCTCCACCTCCTCTCTTTATTCAGATACTTCCTCAAGATTCATTTTTTTCACAAGGCCAGCAAGTATAGCACAGAACAGAAATCAGACAGTCCTTCAAGAGCTCTACCCTAAAACAGCTAAAGCAGAGGAATGCTGCACACAGCTGTAGTTCATCATCGGTGTAATTTATTTCTCCTTTGGTATTACAACATGACATTACATCAAAGCAATCCAGCTGCAAAATGAATATGATACCCTGTGCATTACTGTAAAGTACAGATTATGGACAAACAAGCTAAATGGGCATGCTGTTCCAAAGCAAAATATACAAACAGTATTTTTCAACCCTGGGAACAAGCAATAGCCTTTGGAATAGCAAATTAGCAACAGAAACTAAGTGAGCTTGCCAGGCCTAACAAAAATGATGAATTCATTCATAGGCGCTGACTCTGTGGGTGCTCCAGGGCTCAAGCACCCATGGGGGGGGGGGGGAGGAATAGTGTGTGCTCAACACCCAGGAGCCAGAGCTCGAGTGTGGTGTGTGATGAGTTCTGTGCTGCTAACAACTTCTGCCCTTGGGGCAGGGAGTTTCTTTATAAACAGAGGCAGGGGGATTAAGATAACAAAAGGCTTGTCATTAAACTAAATTGAGAATCGTTAGATGATCCTGAAAGCATTCCCTGGCACTCCAGTTAAAAGAATAAATGGTCCATTTTCAGAATGGAGAGAAGTAAATAGTGGTGTCCCCTGAGGGGCTTGTACTGGTCTGGGAGCAGAGCTTGTTCAACCTATTCGTAAATGATCTGCAAAAACGGGTAAGCAGTGAAGTGGCAAAGGTTGCAGATGATACAAAACTACAACACAGAACACAAAGTGTACAGTGCTCACTTTATGTTTGATTACAAGTATTTGCACTGTAAAAAATAAATAAATAAATACTATTTTTCAATTCATCTAATACAAATACTGTAGTGCAATCTCTTTATCATGAAAGTTGAATTTACAAATGTAGAATTATGTACAAAAAACATGCATTCAAAAATAAAATAATGCACGTTATTTTGTTTTTGAGTGCAGTTATGTAACAAAAAATATATACATTTGTAAGTACATTTGTAAGTTGCACTTTCACAACAAAGAGACTGCACTACAGTACTTGAATGAGGTGAATTGAAAAATACTATTTCTTTTGTTTATCATTTTACAGTGCAAATATTTGTAATAAAAAATAATATACACTTTGATTTCAGTTACAATACAATATATATGAAAATGTAGAAAAAAATCCAAAATATTTAATAAGTTTCAATTGGCATTCTATTGTTTAAGAGTGTGATTAAAACCACAATTAATCACAATTATTTTTTTAATCAGGATTAATTTTTAATTAATCACGTGAGTTAACTGTGATTAATTGACAGCCCTAGTAATTATGTACTTCATAACAATTGAATCATTATTGAAATGGGAAAGACACCAATGATAGACACATTCAATAACTAGAATATGAAAGACATGTATAAATATGCTGAAAATAGCCTCCCCACAAAACTGGCAGAGTGACACCCTGGCCCCCAAACACACACACACACCTCTTCAAAAGCACCTACCGGCAAAAAAAAAAAAGTACAGCGCCTATGAATTAAGTGGAAGTTTGTGAAGAGACTATTTTGGCCAGAAGGTCCCTTTCTGACTGAGAAAGAGAGAGAAGCTAAAAATGAACTGTGCTATAGGGGAGAAAACAAACATATTTTTCAACAATTTAAAGAAGCTCCCACTGCTGAAGTGTAATGTGAAATCTTCAAAGGCTTCTTCTAAAGCAGCTGGTGTATGCCAGTGCTGGTGACAGGATCTGGACAAGACGAATCAGTGGATTCTACTTATACGGCAATAGGTATGTTCCAGCATTTGTTTCATTAACACTTCCTTATGGGCTAGATTGTGCCGTTAGGGCCTGATCCACAGATCAGTGAAGTCAATGGAAAGACTCCTATTTACTGCAGATTTCAGAGTAGCAGCCGTGTTAGTCTGTATCCGCAAAAAGAACAGGAGTCCTTGTGGCACCTTAGAGACTAACACATTTATTTGAGCATAAGCTTTCATGGAACTGGCACTTAAGGGACAGACCTCAATAGAGAGGGGTGTGGAGTTGCAGCGCCCAAGAGGTAACACTCCAAGCTCTTCTGTGTGCCTAGGGAATGTGTTGGCTGCTACTCACTGTCTGAGGCTTTGTCTATACTATGCACCTTTTAGCAACATGGCTGTGCCGCTACAGCCGTGCCGCTAAATGGCGCACAGTGTAGCTGCTGTTTGTCGGCAAGAGAGAGCTCTCCCACCGACAAAAAACAACCACCCCCAATGAGCGGTGGTAGCTTTGTCGGCAGGAGAGTGCTCCAGCTGACAAAGCTCTGTTCACACTGGCACTTTTTGTCAACAAAACTTTTGTCTTTTGGGGATGTGTTTTTTTAACACCTCTGAACGACAAAACTTTTGTCGTTCAGTTGCCAGTGCAGACAAAGCCTGAGTATCTCTCTCTGTGGGCCAGTGCAGTACGATAAAGGCTGCCCTTGCCTCGTTCCCTTTGAGGCTAGGTGTACCCTATAGGGTACATCATCGGATGAGTCCCAGCATTTCCCCCACCCCAAGTACAGGGACTGCCATTTTCCCTTCCATGAGCATGCAATGTGGGAGGCAGGTTCCTTGCTCTGTCCCCCACTACTCACTTCTGCAAGGGCTAGGCCCTAGTTCACATTTAACTAATGTCTTATACTACTATTACTCTGACTAGACTCTCAAATACTGTCAAGATGGATCCTTTATAAATGCCAGAAAATTAGATGGATTCATCTTTACTGTTAGAAGAATATATGGCAAGGTGTAATCAAGGAGATGTTTAGAATGGCTTTCAAATGCACGGCTGTGTCAGGACCGGGGTTCAAATCGTAGGTGTGCGCAGCCCATTTCATTAGGGTGTGCACCCAGGGAGCCCCACCCTGCCCTAGCCCCACCCCCATCCTGCCCCCGTCCACTCCCTCCTACTTCCCGCCCCCCGACTGCCCCCTTCAGAACTCCCAACCCCCCTGCTCCTTGTCCCCTGACTACCACCTCCTGGGACCCCTGCCCTTAACTGCCCCCCAGAACCCCTCCCCCATCTAAGCCTCCCTGCGCCTTGTCCCCTGACTGCCCCCCTTGGACCCTACCCCCTACCTGTCCCCTGACTGCCCTGACCCGTATCCACATCCCTGCCCTTAGACAGACCCCCAGGACTACCACGCCTATCCAACCGCTCCCCACCCCCTGACAGGCCCCCCCAGAACTCCTGACCCATACAACCCCCTCTGCTCCCTGCCTCCCCTAACCCCTCTCCAACCTCTGCCTCCTGACAGCCCCCCCAGAACTCCTGATGCATCCAACCCCCCCAGCTCCTTGTCCCCTGACCACTGCCTCCAAAGACCCCCCTCCCAATTGTCCCCCCAGGACCTTCCTTGCTCCCTGTCCTCTGACTGCCCTGACCCCTATCCACCATCTGTCAGGGGGACTCCCATGCCCCATCCACCGTCTGTCAGGGGGACTCCCATGCCCCATCCAACCCCCCCTGCTCCCTGACTGCCCCGTCCAGAGACCCCCTGCCCCTAACCACCACCACCCCGGGATTCCACCCCCTATCCAACCCACCCTGCTCCCTGTCCCCTGACTGCCCCCACCCCTTATCCAACCTCCCTGGCCCTGGACCTCTTACCATGAGATGAGAGTCCTAGCCTCCCCGCGGAGCCAAACACTGCCCCTCAGAAGCACGCAGCCCCAACTCCACAGGTGGGATGGGAGACAGAAGGGCTCAGGCCAGCTCCACACAGAGTGGGGTCAGGGCTTCAGCCCTGCAACTTTTGCCACTAGGGTGGCTGGGGCTCCCGAGACGGGGACTTCAACCTCACATCTTCTGCCAGGGTCCAGGGCTTCTCCTCCCTGCCCCAGTGTGGCTCCTCCGCCCCCACCCCAGTGCGGCTCCTGCCAGGGTCAGCGCTTCTCCC